TTTTTTTGGTTTTTGAGTTTCTTTTTTTCAGAGTTGATTGATGACTTCTGTTTCATGACCTTTAATGATGATTTATTGGTGACCTGCAGTCGAGATGACAATGTGAGATAGTGTCTCACTTTTTGTGTCCTCATTGTTGTACATCGTCTACTCATGGAAGGTTTTAGATCAAATTTTGGCGGTTATCGGGTGAAGAAGCGGTGCCGACATTCGAATGTGAAGTGAGCGTTGGACCACATGTGCTTCTGGATTCTTTGAAACCACATTCAACGGCTGCAAATATACTTGCTACTGCTGCTCTAGGAGATGCTTATGTAGTTGATGTCGAGCGAAAGACATCTGTTATCTGTGAGTTTTGGGATTATGCCCACAAATACTTACTTTAAAGATTATTTTTGTTGTTTTATCGTTCTTTAACTTACTTATTTAAAGATTTCGAATGTCTTCTGGCTACGCCTGTGTCCCCGGTAATTTCTTGCACTCGCCTGAAGCATTTCATACAGCTGCTTTTACAGTTCAGAATTATTTCGCGCATAGCAGGTTTCAGTGCGGATTCCTTACAAAACATAATACTAAAATTAATAATGTATCAAGTTTATATTAAAACCAAAATTAGTCTAGTAAAAGGATCATGAGCTCAGTTCGAAATTCTGCGAATAGCGGGAAGGTGAGGGCGTTCCCAGCACGCGCTTGCACATCTAGCAGCTTTACGTTGCTGGGTCGCTAGTATCATTAACGTATTTTTTGAAGATGCCACAAATTTTCTGATAAGAGCAAAAATTTCAGTCATCATAGCATGGTAAAAAACTATCCATACTTTTCAGCGCTCACCGGTTATGAGGATAAAGGACAGTCCATGGACTGGAGCGATGATGGCAAACTTCTAGCAATTAGCGCTGATAAGGGACGTCAGGTTAGTGAAATAGCATGCATCCCACATCAATGTTTTGCTTGCGGTGGGCTAGCATCTAATGTTCCAGGTATATGTTTACGATGTCCGAAGTGGCTCTTCACCGATACATACCATGGCTACACATCAAGGAATGGGACGAGAATCACGCGTACTTTTCTGTGGTGATCGCCTCCTTTCTAGTGGTTTTACAAATGTCAGTAAGGTTTTTTTATATCTCTCTCTAGCAGTCGCTTTATCTTC